TGATGGAAATAAAATTCAGCGATATTATCGCTTTCAGTCACCACGGCTGCGCTAGCATTTAGAAAGATTGGTTGTATCTCGCCGTTCATTTCATGCGTCACGGGGTGTTCTCGTTCAATCATGAATCGACACTCTAATTGTACAAAAATTTTGAAACAAGTATGTGATGGGGAAAACAGTTCAAACAAATTAAGTTGGAACGGAAATTGACAACGATTAAGAAATGTAATGGGATTGAGAATATTTTGCGAATTCGCGATAATACCACGGTGCACTAGACTATTTAAAGTCTGTACTACATCCGTCCACCTGAGAATATTTTCAATGCATGACACACGTTTTTGTGGTTGTTGTCGATCTGAAGAAACAAACGAAATTCAAAGTAATGAATGACTATGAATGTAGAATGATTGGATGTTTGTGATGAATCGAAAAATAAAAAATAAAAAACTTACCCTCATTGGACGTTGATTGTATGTTAGTCGCACGTTCCTGGCGAGGTGGCAGCGGTGACAGTGTTGGCGGTGCTGATGATGATGATGATGCACCTGCCTCGTCACGATACCGTTTTACACAAATTTTCTTCATCGCGAAGACACTTGAAACTTCACTAATATGCACTATTCTATCAGTAGCTCTGCGCTAAGGAATGACACATTCAAGAATGATGAAATCTTATACAGCACACGTTGAAGTAATGTTGTGGTTGCGCAAACCGCATGCGCACCACAACTCATTAGGAACCGCCGCGTATTTTGAGCAGAAAGGAAGAACAGTTACACCACATGAAGAGATTACCGACCACGATACTGGAGGATACGTTAATGAGACCGCGCTGATTATTTCAACGTTGATTATTTCAACGTAAACGGAAAAAAATTAACGGTTTTTCAAATTCAAATGAGAACGTGGGAAACCGTTACCGCGTTCGTTAAGTCGCTGTTCATATATAAAAGCGTTGCTATCATCATAAAATGAATAGTACTCTTGGTGCTACTGCTGCTGCTGCTGTTACGGCTGTTGCTGCTGCTACCGTTCTTTCGCGATGGCCACCATTCGTGAAATTGATGGAGAAGTAGATGCTGCTGCCGTGGCATTGCCGTCGACATCTTCGATGTCCAAAAAGCGGAAGACATCGTATTTGTTGTCTCTTTTCTTTTTTCCATTCATTTTAGATTAATTTTATATTTTTTAAACTTTTTTATTTTTAACAGTGTGAACGAACTGACAAAAGTCGACTTGCTGGAAAGACGATTGATGGGTGCGGATGTGGCATCCATCGATTTAACTGGGCTGATGGATGACGACGAAGATGATGCATTTGATGCATAGAGATTAGCACTGGAAACTTCGCAGTTCGCCATCGGAGGAGCTGAAACAAAACCATCGTCAGAAACGACAATTTGCATAAGTGAATCCACAGCGCCGCGACTGGTCGCGGATCCAGCATGTCCCGTATTTATATACTCACCGCCCAAAGAGACGCAAGTAGAATGATTTATTAATTTTTGAGATATGATAAAAAAGGAAATTTTTTGTTATTTAATTTTTTGTTTTGTTTTAGTGACATTTGGAGTGCTATAGTACAAAGGGCAGATTCCTCCCAAATATCAAAACATTGGGAGGACTTGCCGAAAGGAATCGCCTACGAAATTACTAGCATAAAAAAATTACATCCCAAAGATTTAACAGCGAAAATGATGCAGTCGTTTTAAACGACAAGTATAGTACATTCTTACCGATAAGGTATATTAGTATTATAATTTTCTTTTTGTAATATTATTTTTTATTATAATTATAAATATATTAATAATTTATTTTGAATTATTGATTTACTCCGTTTATCGACGAAATGGGGGTGGAGCAATGTATAAGATCAAGGCCTCATGTAATATATTTTTTAAAAAATCCGACAAAAAATGCATATGTGATTCTATTATATCGCTTTGAGCATTTAAAGTTAAAATCTACACGGAAGACTATTATGGAATATGGAATGAAGTATATTAAATTTTAAACAATATTTTTTGTATGACATTGATGAAAAATAAAAAAAGAATACGATCTTATAAGAGCTTATAATTTTTTTCCTTGTCTTATTTCCTTTCATTCTTCCTTCATTCTCCTCTCCATTGAAAAATTAGAAATACTCACATGAATGGAGTCAACAATATTCAATGAAAACAATATAGCAAACAGAATGCATTAAAATATAATCAATTTTGTTGACAGCAAACGAGAAGTATTTTTTTATTTATTGAAATTATTCCTTTAAAGTAAAGAAAGTAATAATATTCTCATTAAATGTTTTTCACAATCATGTAAAATCACCATATTTGCTTATAAGAGTTTTATTATTTTAAGAATTAGAAGTACTCGCAGAAGTCATCAAACTATTCAATGAAATATCAATTTATTGTAAACAGAATGCAAGTACTCGCAGAAGTCATCAACTATTCAATGAAATATCAATTTATTGCCAACAGAATGCATTAAAATATAATCAATTTTGATGACATCAATCGAGAAGTATTTTTATTTATTGAAATTATTTCTTTAAAGTAATGAAAAGAAATAATATTCACATTTAATTTCTCGCAAACATGGAATACGGGAGGAGATATTTTAAAACTTTTAAAAATCAGCGTATTTGCCTAAGAATCATGGTTATAAGAGTTTTATTATTTTAAGAATTAGAAGACAACAATCTCATCAATGAAGAATGCATTAAAATATAAACAATTTTGTTCCCATCAAACGAAAAGTATTTTTTATTGAAATTATTGCTTTAAAGTAATGAAAAGTAATAAAATATTCACATTAACTTTATTGAAATTCAATTCATTTTTTTCATTATTGAATTAAAGTATTAAATTCATTAAGTATTAATCATTTGAAGAGTTTTATTTCTTTTATTCATAATGGAGAACTATTATTTTTTAATTAAGGAATCCTATGTAGGTGGTGATAGGGTAAAGAATTTCATTAATTTATATAATTATTATTTATTAATATATAATATATATTACAACACATAAATCACAAATTTTAATACCTTATTTTAAATTCCTAAAATTAATTCTTCATCATCATCTTCTTTCGCTACATCCACATCATCATCATCACATACATTGATTTCAGTAAGATCTGAAATGAAACAAAACATTATTTATGTTTAACATTTTTAAAGAAGGAATGATAGATGATCATTGAAATGAAATGTTAGATGAAGCATCATTCAAAAGTACTCACCAGAAGAAAATTAATGTCTGCATACACGAGGACGATGCAACAAGCGTTCCAGCTCCTCCAGCGTGAGGTCCGCGATGGGAAGAGCTGAAGGCGGTGGTGGCGGTAGAGGTCCTCGTCGCGCACGGAGCGCCCGACGTGCGCTACCATGCGCCCACTCCTGCGTTGGTGTGCTCGTCCTCCTCGGAGTTGTTGGTGGGGAGGACGTATACAACTGACGATGCTGCTGCTGTGGCTGTTGATGGTGCTGCTGTTGTTGTTGCACCTGCCGCTGCTGTTGCTACTGTTGCTGCTGCAGCGGTGCCAGTATTGAGTGCGGCCGGCGCAGAGGCAAAAGCGGACCGCTTAATCGCCAGCGGCGCTGCGGTCCGTTGGTCGACGCTGGTGGCGTCGTCGACGTCGACGCTGGCGCTGACGCCTCCATTGCCTGCTGAGCTGGTGTTGTTGTTGTTGTTGCTGCTGTTGATGTTGTTGGCTGCGACGCTCCATAAATGAGCGTCACGGGTGACCCCACCGCATAGGCCAAGTTCCCCACCAGCATTGAAACGTATATTCGCAACAATTGCGGGCGGGCGGGGAGGGGCGATGATTGAACCTTGGCCAAGGATGAGGTCCACCGCTGTGAAACCCATATGGTTTCTAATTTTAACATTCGCACCACTGTTTAATAAAAACTCCACCACCTCGGTGGCATTATGATTGACGGCGAGATGAAGCGCCGTCATCCCATATCGATCTGTTGCGTCGACACCCACCAGATGATTGCAAATGCGTGATCGATTATGGACGGCTGCCACATGAAGCGCCGTACGTCCATCTGGTATTTGTTGGTATATGTAATGAGGATTCTGTTGAAGTATCCTCACCACTTCACCAACATTGCCCGCTCGAACTGACGCAAAAAAATCAACCAAAGCCATTATTAATGGTCAGAATTAATCGTTGCAGTAGCATCTCAAAGTTGCAGTAGCAGCTCAAAAATAAGACTGTGTACGCAAGTCGACGGAACGCATATAACATAGGGAATTGAAAGTGTAGTGGCAGCGCATTTCATTGGTTTGTTTTAATTTTATCGACTGGCACGGACAGCCAATGGTGTCGTTAGTCCTCTACTCTGGATTCGCACGCACTATGGTCAACCGCAGGCGACTTCCTGCGTAGCTGCGCAGATCATTAACGGCTGGAAGTGCAAACGAGCTGCGACCGCGACCGGATGCAGCTTTCGGCATAGCCTGGCGAACACCGCTTCCTGCGCAGCTGCGCAGTTCATTAACGACGGGAAGTACGCTGTAGATTCCAATAGCGTGTGCACGACCGGATGCAGCTTCCGGCATACCACCGGCCTGCCTGCATACAAGTCTGAAGTTGAAACTTTTTTCATCAACCATCAAGTGAATGTTGTTGCATTATTCAATAAGCAAATCAATAAAGATAAATAACAGGATGTCGTACTTGGTGTTTGATTGGAAAATAAATAAAAGAGTAAATGTTTTACAAAATTTATTAACATTATATTCATTTACAAAATGTATGAACAACTACATGGATATTTCGAAAGGACAGAATGTGTCATTATTTAGTTCAAAAAAGAAAAGAGTTCGTTCACGACTTCTTGTTGTTCTTCTTTTGATCATTCACCTGCGGAGACATGATGATCTTCGCGAACAGAAGAAGTAGCAGTATCAGCAACAGTATCATAGTCAGTAACACAAAATGAAGATGGAGTACGGTGTTGAAGAAATGCCATTTGTATGGCATGCATTAGCCAGTTTGTTGCATGTTGCACACATTGTTGAACATTTATTCCACAACATAAATGTGTCATGTCCGGGGACGATGGTGATTGCGAAGGAGGAGCCGAAGTAAGAGTCCTCCGTTGTCTTTTGAAGACAGATGCTGTTTGTTTCCTTCGATGACTATCACGTAGTTTATTTTTATTAATTTTATTCTTTGCCTTATGTGATGACTTACAGTGTTTCATGCAAGGATGAGCGCATTCATCGCTTTTGTTGTTAGTGTGCTTCTTTCGTCCTTCTTTTTTCTCGACAATCCTTATCTTCTTTTCTTCATTAGCTTTGCTGGAGGCTTCTTCTTCAAGAGATACCACATGATGGAGAAGAGTCCCGCGCAATACTATTCTCTTCCGTTGTGTTCATGATTGAAGACAACTCGACATTGTGATCCCATTTCCCATTTCACGTGATTTTTATACTTTACGAACGAGTTCTGTGATTGGATGATAGTCCATGTGTCGTTCGTAAAAAATGAGACAAAAGACAGACGTGTTAGCGGGCACGTTCGAATTGCATTCGAAAAAGATTTTAATATCTGATGCAGAGGCGATCGTCGGCTCCTCGCGTCGTGATAAATCAAAAATTACAAACGGGCATATCTCTTTCACTCCGCGATGCGTAATACATGAAATAAGATGACGATCCAAATACGATTTTTCGAAATTTTTGAACATTTCGAAGAATTCTGATAAATGCACACCATCCTTATTCCATCCTATGCGCATGTCGTGATAAGGATAAAACTCGTCGTTGATGAAGAGTTTAATCGTTCTTAAATCGCACAGGTCGAACTCGCTAGGATTCTTTTTCAAATCGTTTCGGCGGTTGGTTTGCATAGCGAAGATGATGTATTGCGGATTATCTGCTCGGCTGCTTGTTTTCACCGTCCACTCGGGACGCGTTGTAAGTGGAAAATTTGCTGATTCGTGGAGTTCGTACCTCGTGAATTTAATAGGTATACTTGTACTACCGTTGAGAATGTTGTACATATGCATTTTACCACAATCGCTGAGGTTGGCGTGCGGCATTCTCCAAACGATGCGGTGAATGTCTATTTTCGACGGTGTAGCTGCTCCCTCTTCCTTGGATAGAAGACAGTCGTTGTCAGTTCGAGTGCGAGTAAGAATGAGCTCGTGCTTCACGCCAGCCACGATGCGCCTGTGGTCCTCCGCGAACTGAAGGAAGAGTTTGAGAGGAATCCAGGCCACAAACGAACCGTCATCGTCAATCAATACTTCATTCAGTGAACGTTCGAGATGAAACAAGCTCTCAAATGGCGTCCACGCTGCGTAATGGAGTAATGCACGCTCTTCGGCGCTGAGGAGCGGCACGTTCTTCATGGTGGATGCGATGCCAGGATGACGCACACTGTCGACGAGGACCTCATTGATCTCATATCGAATTTCGGAAAATAAAAATGCGTAGGCGTTGTTGATAAAGTTGGCAGGTGTGCGTCCGCCTCTGCTTGTTTTGGTCGTCTTTCCTTCGATGATGATGGTCGATTCGCATGGGACAGCGAAGGTGTCTTTGTTTTGTATCATAATGCGAATTTCATCGTTTGAATCATATCCGTTCGTATACGGTGTGTAGTGATGATAATTGAAGCCTTGAACGTTAATTTTTCCATCGAATGGATATTGATTGAGGAGCACGTCTAAGAGATAGTCTTTGCTACTGGCGGTAGCGGAGTGTGATTTTTTTGTCTTTTCATCTTCTCTGAGAACGTAGCGTAGCGCTTGCAACAGCAGACGATTGGCGTGTGTTAATCTATTGGTAGGACAGAGTACAGTGTGCCGCGGTCGAGCACGACTCTCATTTTATATGTCATCGTGCGCAGTGCGAAGCAGCAACGTTACAACGATATTAGTGTCACTTCGCAATGGAATGAGCTGCCCTTCAGGGTTCTCGAGTCTTATCGTTATATCATCAATCCAGTTGCGAGTGACGGGATGAAAGACTTTCTCCGGAGGTCTCACCTCAAAAATGGAAGACGGTCGCCGATCAATGTCGAACTGATGAAGAATGTGAGCTCTTCGATTATTAATATATCCACTTTCCACAACATTACATGTGACGATAACGTTAATGTCCTTGACGAGCGTGACGTTCTTGTCGGAGAAGACGTACTCACCGGAAGACGTTGGGTTGACGTTGCGAGTGAATCCCAACAGCGGTCCCACGCTGTCTACGATATCGAAGCCTAGACGAAAGGAAGTACTGATGCGACACTTTTGAGTATTCTCTTCGCTGTCCAACACGAAATATTTTTTTTTACTTGCAAATTGTTCTTTGAATTGTTCTCGAAGAGCGGAATAGATATGAACATGAACGTCGTCGATTGTGTACGTGCCTGTCGGTAATTTCAGAACGTAATTGTGATATTTTATTCCTTTACCATCGTCGACTGGAACGGCGTAGTGGAATGCGTTACATCCTTCTTTAATGTTAGTCACCGTGTGCGCCGTTTGCAGTGACACCAGTGCAATTTCATGTGGCGTGTTAGCGAGATCGATTATTGGAGAGAAACGGACACTCACTTCCGCTCTTTTCCCGCTGAGCGTGTAGGTGCGCATCTCGTTGTTTTCACTGAGGAAGTGTTCCGCTCTCTGTCTCAAATACTCATTTTATTCACCACTCATACAACAGAAATTGCAAACAGTCTTCCACAGTTTTCCGCATCAAATTGTTGAACTTGCGACGTATTGTACGTCACTTGCTTTCCGCGCATATAGGTCAAAAACTCCGGTGGTGGGGGTAGACCGAAGGAGTCGAAATAGCGCACCGTTCTTCCTCGTTTTACGAATGCGACGAAATGAGTACCCTCTCCTCGTGCGTCATCGAGATTGATCACCCCGCATTCTCGCTCACGAGGCGGACCCCGGGGCAGACGGTCACGGGTAAAGATACCGCGAAAATGCGGGAGACATAGCACGCGAGCACATCGTCTCTTTTCTTCGTGAGTAAGCGGTCGCCGCGGCACCCGCACCTTCTCTAGTTTTTTGGACAACGACTCCTCTTCTTCGTGTGAGGCAAACGTAAAAGGACACCTCCTGTTTTTCTCCTTCTTCGTCTTCCTCGCGACATGCCCCTCCCCGCCTTCGTTTCCATCGCGGTGCTATGACGAATCATTTCTGTCAATGTACGTTGTTGATTTTTCTTGTTATTGACCGCGTTTGCGATAGCCGACGCTCCGCCCGCCGCGGAAGCGAGGGCCCCTAGAGCGCCTATTGAGGTAGAAAATCTTTCTTGCGACTCGTCTTCCGTCGCCGCCGCCTCATGCCGCTTCCGCTCGCTTCGCCCGCCAATCGGTTTGCTTGCTGATGCTCTTCTTCTTCTTCGTGTCACTAGCGCTGGAGGGCGAAGTGTGATGCACCTACGCGTTGATGTGACACGACACTCTGTACGAGTACGAACCATTGCAAGAGAAGAACTAAAGAAATGATATGCATTGTCCACCTTTTATAGCAATTTAGCTGGCAATTAGAAGACTAATCTTTAAAATTATAAAATACTTGTCCTTTTATCTCATGTTTTTCGTCCTCGTAATATAAAATGTTTCTCTTCAATAAACATCATTATCTTATTATATAGTTCATCTGCATAAGAGCGTGACGCTCTAAACGTCTGTGTCACGTCTTTCTCTAATTTTGCAACACGACCATTTATAACGTTCTTTACATTTTTACATAGTCATCGTCTGCTTTGGCAATTCGCTTGTTGGTCTCATTCAAGTCGTTTCGCAGTATTCTTAACAATTCTCCAATTTGCTTCAAATCAATATCTATGGATTGAAAATGAGTATTATTCAGCACTGCCTCCCTCACCTCTTTACCTATATTTTTCTTTACATCATTAAAATGTTCTGTCACCTCTTTATCTATTTTTTTCTTTAGATCATTAAAATGAACAAGACTAAGACTGTCCGCGTTTCACTTCTTTTAGAACCTCATCCAATTGTTCTTAATTTACGACGTCCGTCGGAGCCGTGCCCTTGCTCACCTTTCGAATGAGCTTATTGTGAAAATTGTAATTCCCCGACGATCCGACCTCCGGAAGAATATTCAAGAGACCGCGTGGGATTTTCTTTTCGTGAGCCTCCAACATGCTCTTAAATTCGTTTCTAGCCGTAGACACGAGCGACTCGGCATGCTCTCGTTCGAACTGTATTTGCTTTGAAACTGAAAGTGCTAATTCCGCTTGTTTCTCCGCCAACGCACTACGAAAAATCGAATGGTCGCCAATTGCTTCTGTTTTACTATTCAACTTATTCAACTTGTCCAGCAAACTGTGTATTGTAATCATGGTGTCGTTGGTCAGACTCATAGTTCGTGCATCTGAATGGTAGATCATCTTTTCCATCTTGTCTTCCAATTCGATGTGGGGTCCTTTAATGCATGCATCCATATCACTCTTTATTGTCTCCTTCAAGGTATTTAGTTTTTCTTGAAGTACATTGAGATCATCTTTTATGAATCTCTTCGAGACGAGCGTCTCTTGCAGCTCATCGTACTTCTTTTGAAGACGATCAAGTTCATGTTTCACGAAACTCTTCGTGGCGGTATCAGTCTTTATTGTCTCCTTCAAGGTATTTAGTTTTTCTTGAAGCTCATTGAGATCATCTTTTATGAATCTCTTCGAGACGAGCGCCTCTAGCATCTCATCGTACTTCTTTTGAAGACGATCAAGTTCATGTTCCACGAAACTCTTCGAGACGGTTTTCTCGTCCAGTTCTTTCAGTTCCGATTCTACGAACGTCTTCGAAACGGCGTCTGTCTCGTCTTCCACCGCCTCGATATTCTTGAGACGTCGCTTTTCCAAATCATAATCTTATACTACCCCAGCATCATCGACCGAGATCTTTCGCCGTTTTAAGGCAAACGTTTGAACGGCGTGATGGAGCCGTTCGTCTACGTAACGTTTGATTCTTTTTCCAAAAACACCCTCGTTCGAACTATCGACGCGTCCAAAGATGTTAATCTTTCAAAAACAATTGCAACTATGAACAATTGTGTTTATTTCTTTCTCTATATATTACATTTGTTGACCATGTAGACAATGAAACATTTAAAAAAAATTTTAAAAAATGTGTCGCGGTAGGACACGAACCAGCGTGCATGATACGCACATTGACTAGTTACTCGAATTTACACTCGCACGCTGACCCCTGTGCTAGCGCGACACATTGGAAAAAGAGGACGTTCTGAACGAATAGTTTTATTATTATAATGTAGTCCATAAAATAAAATTATTCAAACGTTACATATTCACAACGCTGCGCTCGCGCTGAACGACAACCGCAAGCTACATCCTACGTAGCGCCCGCGCATCGTTAACGGCAGGAAGTACAAACAATCTGCGACCGCGACCGGATGCAACTTCCGGCAAAACGCTCGCTGATTGTGCACAAGTCTGAAGATCAAATACTTAGCACTGTACAACAAATAAAATGTTAGAACTTTCAACAACAATAATTGAAGTACCCTTTGTCGTAACGCATTCGCTTTTGAAAATCAACAGATGACAATGAATAACCTGTACAATAGGAAAGAGCACCGGCGCTCGGTTGTAAACAGGGTAATGAAACTTAAACCTAAATTAGAAGGACGGTGCTGAAAGAGGAAAAGTGATGAGAAACACAAAAAGAAAGACAAGGAAAGAGGGAAGGGAAGAGGAAGTCTGGGAGCAAAGTGAAAATAAAACAAAGGCTCCAATGATGAAATAAAGCTGCCTACAAACAAACGGGAAATCAAAGACACTCTTCAGGCGAAACGAAACGCTTTCAGCAGACAGAGACGGCCAGTTCATAGTCGGTTAAACGCACCCCAACACAGACGTTCTCCCCCTTCTATTCCACCCATCCTACTACGTCACAAGAAAGAATTGAAAGTCGGAGTGGAAAGACGCGATCGATTATTCCGAAATAAACTCAAAGCGCTCCGGCCGTTTGAAACAAACCGTGACGACTTCCTTAAGACCTATCTCACCCACCCCGATGAAGAACGCTATCACAAAGGA